AGTGCTGTCTCTCATGGAAGGACGCCTTCTCTAGAGGGTCAAATGCAGGTTCTCTGGCTGTCCTACCCAGGGAGAGCCTTGGGTCTCACGGCAGGGAGAGGTGCCAGGTGCCTGATGGGAAGGCCAGTAAGGATTCATAGGGAATGACTTTGAAGGTAAGCCCTGACAATATGGGACATCTTGCCCAGGGCAAGTCATAAAAGCCAACCTATGATTTGAATGCGAATCTGTTCTAGGCAAAGCTCTTTTCCTAGCTTGGTAGCAGTGGCTCACGCCTGTAATCCTAGCCACTCAGGAAGCTGAGATATAAGAATCACAGTTCAAAGCCAGCCCAGGCAGGGAAGTTCATGAAATTCTTATCTCCAATTAATGACCAAAAAAAAAAAGGGACAGAAGTGGAGCTGTGGCTCAAGTGGTAGAGTGCTAGCCTTGAACACAAAAGCTCAGGACCAGTAGTGCCTAGGTCCTGAGTTCAAACGTCAAGACCAGCAAAAAAAATAAAAATAAATTAACTCTTTTCCTTGGCGGAGCGGGGGTAGGGGTGTGTGTGTGGGGGGGGTGGGAGGATGGTAAAAGGGGTGATGTCGATCAAGATGCATTGTACTCATAATCTGACTTGTTGAAAAGAAACCTTGTTTGTGCAACTCCTTAAAATAAATTACCCCAATACTTATGGCCAGGTAAGAAGGTAGAGTCCCTAGACCTTGGAGGTGAAATGGGTGGTCTGGTGATAAGGAGTTGGTCAAAGCTGGGTCCCAGGTTTCTGGCTGATTGCAGATGTTGGTTGAGGCTCAGCCATTGCTTGTGGGGAAAGAATGCAGCCCCTCAGGCCCTCATTGACTTTGTATCTGCAGGTGTAATTTAGCTGCTCACAGTACTTCCCTTCAATCTCTTTGTTGTAAAGCCTAAATCCATAGGCAAGAACAATAAGACCAATAGAAGACAAGTCCACAAAAGCCACATGTGAGGGAGATGAGCTAAGAATACAGGCCTTCTTGGGGCACCCAAGCCTCTTTTGAAGTATGCAGAACCCCCCCTCCCCAGCCTATCCCAAACAAAACAAAATGAAAAACACACGCATAAAACCCCAACCAAAGTCAGGCATTCTGTTTTCTCAGGGCTCCCTTGCCAATGATGTCTCGACGCTGTATTAAATGGGGCTGTTTGTTTAAGAGCTGAGCAGGTGCTTTCCACTGGCACTGACTGGAAACAAAGCCAAGCCCTGGCCTAGGCCAGTGGGGACAGCCATTAGCGAGAATGAACGGAGGGAAGGCAAGGCTGGGCCAACCTTTCAGTGCTGAAAAGGTTTTGTTTTGTTCCTTTCTATTTTTCCCTCTCTCTCTTAAAGTAATTTTTTTTTCTTGGCAAAGCCACTGGATTAAAATCTAACTAGATTCTATTTCCAAATCTTTTTGTAAAAAAAGGAAAATTGGAAATCACTGAGGGGAAAGGGATGAACAGACACGGCTGACCCTTGACCTTGACCCATCCCAGCTGACCTTCCGGTCATTGTCCTTATCTGCCCTCACCTGTCACTGAAGGTTGGCACTTGGAGCTCTGGGTCTGGGGAAGCTTGGCCGGAAAGGATCTCAGGAGTCATCCCCGGAACACTACCCGTCACCCACCATGAGCCTGTCTGGGGCACCCTATGTTGAGATCCCTTGGTCTCAAGGGATGTGTTCATGCAAGATCTGGACAGAGTTCACATGGAGGACAAGAGCTTGTCCTTGGTCCTGAACTGGCTTCTAGTCCTAGCTCGACTGCTCCTAACCATGTGACCTTAAGTCGGCCACTTTGTTTCTTGGAGCCTCAGTTTCCTTGTCTGTAAAGTAGGCATGATAGCACCTGCCACACTGGTAAGGCCTAAAAGCCCAGAGTATAGCTGAACTGGCCTCTTACACCCATAAAAACTATGGAGCACCCCCAAGACTTCACCTTAGAAAACTCTAGAAGATACATTTCATTGGGCTTCAGAGTGAAGACATCATCATGTACCGGGAAAATTCTAGTGTATGATTGCATTGGTGGTAGAGCACTTGCCTAGCATGTACAAGATCAGAGAGAGAGGGGAAGGGGAGAAAGGAGGGAGAGGGGGAGGGAGGGAGGAAGGGAAGGACAAAATAAATAATTTGTCAATATATTACCAAGTATGGTGACTGATCTCAGAGACTTTGAGAAGTCTATACTCATGCATATGAAATCCCTCACATGCCACATGCTGAAGGCCCAGGGTGTTGGCACACCTGGACAGGTGTGTGGGCCTTGCACATTCCAAGTCTATGGATGAATGCTACATGCAAGACCTGCAGCAGGAGGCTCTCTGGTAGGGTTCCCAGTCTACCTGCAATGCTGCCGGACTGTGGCTAGAGGGAAGACCAGTATGAGCTCAAGCAGCTGAGGGCAGGTGGGAGGGATTTGTGGGCAGGACTTGTGAGGTACTTTTCTACTTCCTGTTGCTACTCTGCTCTGCAAGAGCATGCTATTAGGCCAGCATGCTATTAAGCTATTAGTGCCCTACCTATGAAGCAGGCTTGGAGGGGCTCTAGTGGGTGCTTGCTGTCCTGACCGGTGAGCAGAGATCGCTTCCTTTTTCCTTATGTGTGTGAGGCAGGGACAATGTTCACCTTCAGATGGCCAGGAGGGTTTAAGTGAAATCAAAGGACAGAATACTATCAGCCAACTATGGTTGATTAAGAGGTTCTCTCTGGCCAGGTGCTGGTGGTTCACATCTCTAATCCCAGGTCCTCAGGAGGCTGAGACCTGGAGGAAGGCCGAAAAGTCTATAAGACTCCACTTCCAATTAACTTATCAAAATGGTAGACTGGCAGCATGGCACAAATGGTAAGCGTAGCAGGGGAGCAAGTAAGTCAAACAAGGGCCCTGAATTCACGTGCCAACATAAAGGAAAGGGAGTCTCTTTCTCTCCCCCTGCCCTCATTCTCGCTGTCTGCCAAATTCAACATACCCCCTCCCCACTTCTTTCCAACGTAGCTCTTTAGTTGGCTCATGAGGCTTTGAAGTTGGTGCTGTGTTCAAGAAAGCACGAGTGGCCGGTGCTGGTGGCTCAACTGTAATCCTAGCTACTCAGGAGGCTGAGATAGGAAGATCACAGGAGATGAGTCCTAGAGACTCTGATCTCCAATTAACCACCAGAAAAAACAAACAAACAAACAAAAAAACAGGAAGTGGAGCTGTGCCTCAAAGTGGTAGAGAGCTAACCTTAAGAGAGCTCAGGGACAGTGTCCAAACCCTGAGTTCAAGCCCCAAGACTGAAAAAATAAGAAAGGGAAGGAAGGAAGGAAGGGAGGGAGGGAGGGAGGGAGGGAGGGAGGGAAGAGAAGGGAAAGACAGACAGATAGCAGAAGCGAAGGGTTTGGCACGGCCCTGATTCAACTTGGTCTTGGGTGGAGAGGGGTGGCCACTGCCTCTGCCTCTTCCCCCTCCCCTCCCCCAGGCTGCTCAGGGGGCGTCTCGGGTTCTTCTACCAACTTGGCCCAGCCTCTGCAGACAAGAGCTGGCTTACACCTTCCTTTCCTCCTTTTCCCCCAGCCCAGGCCCCGGGGTGACCCCCGAGTCTCCCAGCAGCCCCCTCCAGGGCAGGTTCTGTCTCTACCTGCTGCTTTTCCTTCCCCTTCCTGGATCTGTTTTTCACCTGGCCAGATGGTAATGAAGGCTGGACCCAGTGCTATTCTCAGCACCTGCTGGGCAGCAGAGGGAAGGACCTGCTCCGTGCCATCACCAGCGGGCTTAGCCAGTGATGGAGACAGAGCTGTGACTAGTGAAGTAGGGAGAGGAGCCAGAGCGGCCCTTCTGCCGGCCGAGGCCTTTTGCCTGGCAGTGCATCTGCCCATCAGCGCCGCCCACCTCCTTCCCAGAGTCCAGGCTGCATCTTCATAGGGCTCGGCTCAGCACGGGTGCACATGGGCGACTGGGCACACACATTAGGCTTCATGGCCTCTGCCACTCCACCCCATGGATCTAGCACACAAGCAGCCACAGACCTTACTACAGAGAGGGTGTGTGTGTGTGTGTGTGTGTGTGTGTGTGTGTGTGTGTGTGTGTGTGTGTGTGTGTGTGTGTGTGTGTGTGTTCCATCAAAATCTGGAACTGTATTTGAAAAATGGGTGCCAGATAAATTAAGCCCCGGAGCCACAATTTTCTAAACCCCGACAAATACTGTCTTAATAAGTCTCCAAAGGCAGTTCAGAGAGGTTTGGTAACTTGTGGGAGGTTGCACAGCACACAGTGACCATGTTTTCCACAGATGCTCTCAACATCCTGAGCTGCCACCAGGCAGAAGCACTGTGGAGGGTGAGATTCCAAGGTCCTGCCTCTTGGTCTAGGACTTCAGAGGAAACAGAGGCCACCAGCGACACAGCTGGGCCAGCAGCAGCAGCCGGGAAGGAAGCAGGCCCTGGCACCAGCTCCCTGGCGCCCACTTAAACTTTTGACTTTCCAAATTAGAGAAGTTGGATGTTCTGCTGGGCACTTTTTTTTTTGTCTTTAGGGAAACAATTTTTTGTTGTTAATTATTTACCAGAAACGCGGTTCTCTCGACCCTCCCACCCGCCCCTAGAATGATCTTCCTTCAATTTCCTGCCCGGATGATTTAACACCACGCTAAGAGGCATTTCAGGGGCTTCTCCTCCCAGACAAAGGAGGTGACCGCGCTTAGGGGGGGCACCAGGACTATGGAGAAAGTTCTGCCATTGGCCAGGCCCGGCCACCTTGTGTCTGCTGTCTAATTCAGCCAGCCACTCCCTCCCACCCAGCCCATCTGTCTGCTGGCATTTATCAACTCCTTCCAGCACACCCAGGCGGGGTCAGGGTGGGGAAGGCTGGCAATCTCATTGTCAGAGCGGTTAAACATTAAGTTGGACTCAAAGTTTGCTCCCCACCCCCTACTCAGCCATCCTTAAATTCCCTTTTCCCCAACTCCTCCTTGCCAAAGCATGAGGTGCTAATGGCCTGATTTACATCTGTGTAAACCTGAGTGTGAGTGTGTGTGTGTGTGTGTGTGTGGTCACTCATGAAGCCTGGAGTAACAGAATCTGCAGGGTAGCTAGCTGGGGCAACCACCAAAACGCTGTGAAAGGAAATCACCCTGTGGGTAGCTAGCCCAATGTAGGGCTGGGTAGAGATGCATAAAACCCAAACCCTGTCACCAGCCAGGAAACAGTTAAAGAGAAGCAAGTAAATGCCTGGAAGCACCTCCTCCTGGGTGGTTCCCAAGGTGCTGGGCTTAGCCCAGGCCATGCATAATTGAGAGTGAGCGTGAGGCCCACTTCCCCCACACTGGTAATGACAGCACAGAGAATCCTAGCTGGGATCCATCAGCACTACCTTCCCACACCCAGCTCAATCCGAATGTGGGGCCATGGGAATTCCACTTCTCTCCGGGGCTAGCACGTGGGACGCTCTGCATTATAGGGCACACAAGTGCGCAGTCACTTATGATTTGTTCTGTAATCAAGTTTGTTTTCTTCTCAAAGCTGGTGCTATACCACTTGAGCCATAGCTCAACTCCTGGTTTTTTTTTTTTTTTTGGCTGGCTATTGGAGCTAAAAGCCTTACAGCCTGAGCTGGTTTTGAACTGTGATTTTTCAGATCTCAGCCTGCTGAGTAAAGATTACAGGCAGGAGGCACTGGTATCTGGCTTAATAAGAAAAAAAATTAGTTGGCCCATAATGATGGTACATAATTATGGGGCACAGTGATATTTTGATATGCATTCACAGTGGGATCATTTTTTTTTTTTTTTGTAGGTCGTGGGGCTTGAACTCTGGGCCTGGGCACTGTCCCTCAGCTCTTCAGCTCAAGGCCAGCGCTCTACCACTTGAGCTACAGCGCCACTTCCCGTTTTCTGGTGGTTTATTGGAGATAAGAGTCTCACGGTCTCTCCTGCCCGGGCTGGCTTTGAACCGTGATCCTCAGATCTCAGCCTCCTGAGTAGCTAGGATTACAGGTGTGAGCCACCAGCGCCCAGCCACAGTGGGATCATTTTATCCATTTTTGCTTTTAAGGACGGCAGGGAAAAGACTAAGATTTGGGAGAAAATGGACTTGAGAAGAAACACACACACACACACACACACACGCACGCACGCACGCGCGCGCGCACACACACACACACACACACACACACGAGTCACAGATTGATGAAGAGTGAAGCGTCTGGGGGCTGCCAATAATCTGTCTAATTTAGGATAGCCCATGTCTTATCCTCTCAGACTTCGTTTCCTTGTCTGTAAAATGAGATTGTGAATGCTGCTTCACCTCTTTCCCTGTCCACTGTAGATGAGCTTCAGGTGAGGTAAGAGTTGTGGAAGAACTTTGGAACCTACAGTCTCTTTATGTGATGGCTAATTTCATGTGTCAACGTGACTGGGCTAGGAGATGCCCACATAGCTGGTAAAATACTAGCTCTGGGTGTGTCTGAGAAGGAGTTTCAGAAGAGATCATGGATTGAGTCAATAGACTAGTAAAACCAAAGATGGCACGGTCCAATCTACGGAGGGCTATATAGGACAAAATGTAGAGGAAGACATATTCAATCCCTTTTTGGGCAGAGATGCCCTTTTTCTCCTCCTTTTTGGATATAAGGACTCTTAGTTCTTAGGTTTTCAGATCCAGACTGAGACTTAACTTTAACTCCACAATTTCACACCTTTGGATTCAGACTTAAGGATATCCCTGGCTTCTCCTGGAGGCTGCAGATGGTAGAGTGTGAGACTTTGTGGTTTCCATAACCATGTGAATCAACTCCCTTCCTCTCCCCCCTTTTCTCTCTCTCTCTCTCTGTCACTCTCTCTCTCCATTCCTCCCTCTCTCCTTCCTTCTATACATGTGTCTATGTATCCCCTACTTGCTTTGAGTCCCTGGAGAACCCTGACTAACACACTTTACAAATGCAAGGACATACAGTTACAAGGGTTGCAATGCATTCCTGATAATAATGATGGTGGAGACAATAATAACAGGGCAAAGTCCAAGTTCTTTAGGTAGAGAACTGCACTTTCTGTGTCACCCCAGGCCAGCATAGGTGAAGGACTTGGGAGCTTTTACATACTCCTCTGAACTAGTTCTGGGTAGCAGGCAGGGGGTGGGGGGAGGACCATTTCCATAGCCACATAAGCCAAAGCACAAATAGACCTGCATTCCTTCCCACACAGCTCTGCTTCTCTCTGCTAGGCTGCTTCCTCTCCTGAAAGCCTGGTACCCTGTTGGCATTCAATGGATGACATTGAATGAGTGAATGAATGCATGCATGCATGCATGCATAAATGCAGCCTATTTTTATGACCCATTCAGTTCCTCCACAGATTTTTTTTTTTTTTCAGGTTGTGAGGTTTGAACTTGGGGCCTGGGCATTATCCCTGAGCTTTTTTTTGTGTGTTCAAGGCTAGTGCTCTACCACTTCAAACTACAGTGCCACTTGTGGTTTTCTGGTGGTTAATTGGAGATAAGAGTCTTGCGGACTTTCTTGCCTGGGCTGGCTTTGAACTGTGATCCTAGATCTCAGTCTCCTGAGTAGCTAGAATTACAGCTTGAGCCATCGGCACCCAGCTACAGAATTCTTTTCTTTTCTTTTTTTGTTTCTGAAATGCTATATTTTTAAAATCAGTATACATTATCTTAAATATAGAATTTCTTAAAAATGAACAAATAACTGAATTTCACTGTTAGATTGTTATGGACAAGAAAATATCTAGTTCTTTTGACTTTTTACATTGATCCATATCTCAAGATGATTATCACATTAAGGTTCTTCTGTGTTACTTTTGCCCAAGTTGGGATAGCTGTTTTATAACTGTGTAGCATTGAAAAGTTCACTGCATCCTTATTAGATGTGCTTGCTTTCCCTTTATGAAGTCAACAAGATTCTGATATTCTATGTAGTTGCCTCCTTTTCTATACAGTTTTACATTAGAAGGCTCTTTTCCACTATAAAATATTAACACTAATACTATTATTATCATTGCCATGGTGATAGCTTTAAAATGGCCATCAATACAATGATACTCCTTCCATTAGAACAGGGCTTAGCCCTAGGCCACACATGTTTGGCCACAAGCAGTGGTCTACTCCAACAGCCCCTTCTAGACCTGGCCCGACCCTCATTTCAGCTGACCCTTCAGATGACTCAAGACCTTATGTCTTCTAGTCCCCCATTCAATTGCTAAGGTTGTGAGATGGGGCTGGCAGTAACTGAAATCTCCAGTTTGTCTATACGGCTAGGGAGAAGGCAGGTCCTATTTGCTCACTCCAGCCATTAGGGCTGGAACTGGGTGAAGAAAGCCCAGAGCCTGCGAAAGAGACATTGTTTCTCTAGGTGGCAAGGTGCAGTTTGAATCACCTGAGCTGACCCCTCCCTCCGTGTTACACCCTGAGTGACCTTCCTGTATCACCTTAGTCCTGGGCCTGATTCCTGAATACATCCAATAAACACTAACTGGATCAATGAATGAAGGCAATGAAATCAACCCTGAACAGAGAGCCTCCTTGGGATAGCAAAGGAGAGAAAGTGCTAGACTTGGAAGCAGAAGGATATAGATTAGAATCTGGCTGTTGTTTCTCACTAGCCATAGAGACTTGAGCGGGTGGCTTGGCTCTTCTGAGCCTGCAGTAGTAATACTGCCCCACGGGGTGACAATAGAGAAGAGATGACGAGGATATCAGCCGAGCAGTGCGCTCTCAAGCACTTGATGTTTCCCTTCGGGTCCTCCCTTCCCTTAGAGAAGGCAACAAAGTCAGTGATTTCACCAAGCCTCCCCAGGGAGAATTCTGGGGAGGCCAGCATTCCACAGTCAGGGTTTGGAAAACCTTTGTTTTGCCCCAGTAAGGGAGTTTCTCTCCATGTTTTTTTCTTAGCTGAGAGGCAGTTTATACTAGTAGTTGCAAGCACAGGCTTCAGCCACAGGTAGGGGTAGGTTAAAACCCTAGCCTTCCAACACTTACTATATAAACTTGCCCAAAGTCATTAAGGCAGAATCTTTAGTTTCCTCATGGAACAGCTGCATGTAAGAACCCTAAAATCTCAGTGGCTTAACAAAATGGAAATTCAGTTCACGGTCATATTACCAGTTCAACCCACGAATATTCCACAGATGGCTTATCCCCGGGCCTCCAGCATACTCTAGGGTCATTGGCTGGGTCCTCTACAACTGTGGGCAGAACAGGAGGGAGAAGAATTACTGGGGAGGTTTTACAAGTTTGGCCTGGAACCAGCACCCATTACTTCCCTTTATATTCCATTGGGCAGAAGCTAGTCACATGGCTTTACCTAACTGCAGGGGAGTCTGGGAATTGTGGTCTCGCTGGATGCTCAAGGGGATGTATCACAGTCTGTGTCCTATTGCACCAGTTAGATGAAGTACATCTTAGACACCATCAAAGGGGCTACTAAGAGTGTTAAATAAGACAACATAACCCAGCATGGTAGCTCACACATCCTGGAGGGTGAGGCAGGAAGATCATGTGTATAAAGCTAGCCTGGGCTACACAGGGAGACACTATTTCAAAGAGAGGGGAGAGGGGAAGCTGGAGAGAAGGAGAGAGGGAGGGAAGGAGATACAAAGGAAGGGAGAAAGGGAGATTCTGAAAGAGGGAGGGAGAGAGGGAGGGAGAGGAGGAGGGAGAGGAGGAGGGAGGGAGAGAAGGAAGGAAAGAAAGAAGGAAGGAAGGAAAGAAGAGTCAGCCAGACAATATATCTGAGTGCTTAGTAGAGATTGTGGCCCAGAATTAGTGTTTAGTATCTGACTTATGGGTCATTACAGGCGAAGATACTAGCCCAATCCTGTATCACCGGTCAAGATGGCTTCCAGAACATGCCAGCAGAGTATGTGAGGACATTTGCTTAGTGGGCTAAGACCCCTAGAGATCAGCAAACCCTGAGCATACACATATATGTATATATACCTACACATATATGCAGATATAAAGTTTTACAGGGTCTGTGGAAGAGGAAAATGGACAAGAAATGATCTTGGTTCTCAGAAAGCTGGTTCTCACTCAGTGTAGGGGATAGAAATGGGCCCATGCCTGTAGTTCAAGTAAAGTATAATAAGTGTCCGGAGGAATGGTTCTTTAACTTTTGCTTAAGGGACCAGGGAAGCCATTTGGAGAGTGCCACATCTTGGCTATACCAGGATGCTTGCAAAACGTGAGTCAGTAGGAGACCACATTACAAGGGAAGGGGCCAGGGCAACCAGGTGTGGAGGGCAGATCAGTTTTGGGCAGGTGGTGTGGTGGTGGTGGTGGTGGTGGTGGCGGTGGTGGTGGCAAATGGTTCACACATGAGTACTGAGGGGAATAAAGTGGAGTCAGCAGGAACAGACATGGGAGATTTGTGTGCTGCCATACTGCTGGTATTAGGGAGCCATTAAGAGTTCAGGGATTCTGGCAGCACTGGGCAAACTTTTCCAATGATCATTTTATCTCTATCCTATGCCTGAGAGACAAAAGTTTCTGCCTTTCTGTTTTGCAGATGGCAGGAAGGAGAGTAGAAACGGCCTCGCTCAGTGTCTAGGACGCTGCCTAGCTCCATTTCACAGAGTCAGCAAATCATTCTATCTTCAAGGACCATGGGTAGCACTAGAAGCTCGTTGGCAACTAATGTAGATTGGGTAGCTTATATTCAACAATGCTGCACAGCAAGTAGCTTTCAGACCCAGTGATGCCCAACATAAATGTGGACATTTCCTTTTTATTTTTTTATTTTTTGGTCAGTCACGGGGCCTGAACTCTGGGCCTGGGGGCTGTCCCTCAGCTTTTCAGCTCAAGGCTAGCACTCTACCACGGAGCCACCTTCCCAGCCCAAATGTGGACATTTCTAACTCATGGCTACATAAGTTGGCAACACAGCTCTGAGTCAGGCAATGAGTTAACTGGACAGGGCTGTTCTAAAGGGATACTGGCCGAGAAAAATCAGTATTTACTGCTCTCATAGGATCTGCTTTAGGCATACACATGCACGCACACATACATACATACACACATACATACGTGCCACACACAGGTATGCATTTGTGTACTTGTCCAAAAGTACTGTTTAAGGCCATAACCCACCCAAACAGATCCATTCGTTGGGATTACTAATTGTATTCACTATAACCTATCTAACCCATTTTGGTCCTGATTGGTGTCAGCAGGAAAGACTAGCTCTGCCATTTGAAACACCCAACTGTATCTTCCCATGGAAATCAAAAGCTGACTTACCTTCCTTTCATTAATCATCTTTTTTCTTACAAGATTTCACCTTTTGTTTTTGTGCACTTTACAAGGAAAAGGTGTGTTTTTATGCTGTGTGGAGAGCCTGGCGGTTAACGGAACCCTTTGATTTTTAAGTAAGAAAGCCAATCCTGCATGTGCAGAGAAGGTTCCAATAAGCTGGGGACCGTACCTTTAGGTTCATGCTTTCCCCTAGTGCTGGGACCGGAAGGACTGGATGGAAACTTTAAACATTTTGAGCAATACCTAGAATATGTATAATTTATAAGCCACACACCGTTGCCTGTCAAATAGGCGATTGATCTGACTGGGGTCTTGTTAATTATCTTCCACATATATTACGCCTTAACAGATCTTCAGTATACTGGATATCAATATTAATAAGACTATAAAACACTATTGATAATTAGGAACAGAAAGGACCAGCCCTTTGATTCTGGCTGTTACAAATGCCCTGCCTTTCTTCAGATTAGAAAGCGGCCACTTTCCATATAATAAGATCAGATCAGAACCATCCCTGTCCTGAAGTGGGTTATTAAGAGACAGCTAAGGTTTACAGTGGGATGGAGAAGGGGCTATTTCAGAGTGAATATGGCAGGATCCCTGAAGGGTGAGAAATGTGCTCTCTGGTCTGCAGGAGGCCTAATGGGGTGGGTGGAGTTGAAGGGAGAGCCTTCCCCACTTTGATCAGCCAAATTCATCATTTTCTTTGTCCAGACTAATCAGGTTGGTTGGGTTTTGCTGGGTATCCGGCTAGCATGGCATTTTATCTTGATTTCTTCCATTGGATGAAAGGGGGTCCCATTGGGAAGACAGAGAAAGGGGCTGCTGAGATTTCAGGCAGATTTCAAGCCCATCCCATCTTGGATGGCACTTTATTTTCTATTTTCCCTCTTTGGAGGAGCTTTCTCTTTTATGTTTTTGTTGGGTTCACCAACTCATTAACATCAAACAGGCAGATCTGCCACTAACTAGGAAAACACAAGCAATTTCGCATATAAATAGAAAGCATTGAAGCTGGGTGCTAGGGCCAGGCCTTCTCCCTGGGGGGTCTCTCACCTGACTGCTGGAGGAGGGAGGTGAGGAGGGAGGAGGAAGGAGGGCCCCACAAGCATCTCCTATGGCCAGGGCCGAGCAGAGATCAGTGACTTCCGGTCCCGAGGATGCACAAGGAGCCACGGAAGTGTTTATTAAACCACAGAAAGCCTGGACTGACTTTTGGTCCAGCTAGTTTTAGTATGTATGTTAGTATGTATGTTTCTTTCCTTTGCATATGGTAAAACAAAACAAAACAAAACATTTTTATCCAAGCTGTTTTAATAAAAACCACTGGCTCTTGTAACAGTCGGGAGATTAGCTGGCTCCCAAGTGGAGGCAGACACCGCCCAGACCCAGTTTCTGTTTCTCAACTCCAGCTCTCTGGCTTAGTCTCCCTTGCAGGCTGACTCTGTTCTGAGATCACAGATTGGCTGTTTGGGGAAAAAAAGAACATCTTTCCCACACATACATGCAGGACAGGAACTTCTCTCCTTCTTAAGGTCTCAGGCTTTCGCTGTCCTGTCTCTGGCCATGTGTTTTCTGCCTATAGCTGAGCTCATCACAGTAGCTGGGGATGGACATTTGCGAGTTTAAAGTTCTGGAGGTATGGGGTGAATTCACATCAACCTA